CCATCAACAATTCATGATTGATTACGAGACACTCAACCACATTACGAAGGCATCATTCATCTCCAGTCATCGCTCACACTTTCAACTGACACATCACGGTGGTCTCAAGCCGGCCAGTATTACAACGAAACTGCGGGTGGTTTTCAATGGCTCTAGCGCATCCACATCAGGCTACCCGGTCAACTACCTCATGTACACTGGAGCAAAGCTACATCTGAACATCTTGGATGTTCTACCTAGGATACGTAGACATCGTCACATTTTCGCTACGGACATCACCAAAATGGACAGACCGATTCAGATTCACAAGGATGACTGGGAGTTACAGCGGATACTCTGGATGGACAATCAGCTCAATGAGGTGCCATATCATTCAACAACGGGCACTTACGGGAAGAAGGTCGTACCATTCTCAGCCGTACGGACCTTGCTACAATTAACAGAAGACGAAGGACATAGTTTCCCACTGGCTGTGCCGGTGATCACTCACGGCAGGTATGTCACTGATATATTTGGTGGTGCTGATACGATTCAACAATTGCAGGAGGTCGCACAACAACTAAGGGGCCTCTGCATGGCGGGCGGCTTCCCACTATCAAAATGGCATGCAACTCATCTCGACATACTCAAGACTGTCATCGACAGCGAAGACCAAGGCTTATCAATCACATTCGACGACTGCGCAACCAAGATACTCGGACTACAATGGCTCCCTCAACAAGATACCTTTACATTCTCAACACGAAGCTCACGCACGGAAGGCAGAATCACAAAACGCCTCGTCTTATCTGAAGTGGCTCAGATATTCGATCCACTTGGCTTTGCATCACCTGTCGTGATCAAGGCCAACATTCTCTTGCAGGAGCTGTGGCAGAACAAGCTCCAATGGGATGACCCACTGCCATCCCAGCTCTCAACCCGGTGGCTCTGCATCAGAGAAGAACTCACAAGCCTGGCCAGGCTCTCAATACCTCGGTGGCTCAATACGTGGAGCGACTCGCAAGTGGAACTTCATGGATTCCCTGATGCCTCTCAATTGGCAATGGCTGCAGCCGTATACATATCCGTTCACGACTCAAACGGCGCCACGTTCTCACTTGTGTGCTCCAAGACTAAGGTAGCACCCCTCAAGCGGCTCTCAATCCCGCGACTTGAACTCACAGCCGCTCTACTGCTCTCTCGACTCTTGCAATACGTCGAAGCCACTTTGAACATGGACGTAACGGCAACGCATATGTGGACGGACTCTCTAGTGACACTCTCGTGGATCAGATCTCATGCATCACGCTGGAAGGATTTCGTCAGGAGCAGGGTGGCTCAAATTCAAGAACTCACTCCAGCCGCTCACTGGAGATACATTCCTGGAACTTCTAATCCGGCTGATT